TTGATATTACATAACTTTTTCAATTTGTTATTTTTAGATGTATTATTAATAGTTTGAGAGGTTAAAACAATATTTTAAAAATTACAAAGATAAAAAAATAATTTTAAATTTGAGTTATCAAAAACAAATTTACTTAAATTTAAAAGATTAAAAATATATTTAAATTTATTTTAATTTAAATTCTAATAGTATAAACAAGTAGTTAGTTCAATTGGCATTGGAGCCAATCTCTTTGATAAGATCTAAAAAAAAAACATTATTGGGAAAGGAAATTTCATTAATGCTTTATTTGGTTAAGAGCAAATGAGTAAGAATTAAGTTTAAAAGAGTGAAAATACGAGAGTGAAAATAAGTAAAATTATTTGACAAAAAAAAATAAGAGGGGAAAAAATTGAAAAATAATAAGTCCTATTTATTTATTTCTTTTCATCTTTCTTGTCTAGTATCTATTATAACACTGAGAAGTCGGCTGTATGAATAACAAGTTAAAAACGTATGCGATATGTAACTTTCTTTCTTCTCTTTTCTCTATATTTTGTTGTTGTTTTCTCAAATTAAGTCACTCTTTTTATATTCTCTCAAATTGAATATGAAACATCGCGTTATATGAACTTAGCATCCTAAAATCAGCCTTATCCAACGATAAACGAATCTCCAGTTGCAATTCAATAAATATTACCCATTTTGTTGTTATTTTCTCAAATTAAGTCACTCTCTCTCTATCCTAATCTTACTCTTCTCCATTTAGTTAAGTGAGACATAATGGGCTTATACAATCTATATCTATTCTCCATATAGAAAGAAAGTCCAAAACCCAACCATTAGCTCTAAAATTGTCACTTCTCTATCATTTTTTCTTGTTAGAATTTGTTAAATAATTTCCTTGCTAAATGAATGTTGTCAACTGTAAAATGTTGTAAAGAACATACGTATTTGTCAATGATAGAAAATGAGTTTGAATTAGTTTTTTCTTATATATATATATATATATATATATATATATAGAGAGAGAGAGAGAGAGAGAGAGAGAGAGAGAGAGAGAGAAAGAGAGAAA